TGCCCCAGCCCCTTTACGTGGTGGACCTGACCCCTCACCCACTCAGCTCCAATGCACTACCCTTCTTCCATCCTCCAAGCATGCCTCAGGGCCTTTGCACCAGCTGTGCTTCTTACCTGGAACCCTCTTTCCCTGAGCACCCATCTGACTCCCCACCCCACTCATTCTTCATCGCATCCCCTGCTTTGTTCTCCTCTGACCATAACGATCTGGAAATAGCTTATTAGGTTATGTTACACTGGATTGTCACTCCATGTATGCCAAGGTCACCACTGTATTCCAGAGTGGTGGCGGGAATGTTTCAAAAGAGGACCTGAGAGAGTGCCCGGGCCTCCCTGACACCCTGGTGTGGCAGTGTCAACACTCCCAGCAGCCCAGGCCCAGGCGGGCATGGAAGAAATGAGCCCACCACTCCCAAGCCCCTGACCCCCAGCGAGCCCCGAGCCCCTACCTGTTCTTGGTCGTTGGCATCTCTGGGGAGCTCTGAGTGGAGGAATTCTCTGACTTGGGCTCCTGTGAGACATGTCCGCTGTCCGGGGTCTTCTGGCCAGCCGGGGGGCTCTCCCTGAGGGGCACATGGGGGCAGCAGGGGGATTCAGCACCAGGCCTGGCATCAGGGTAGAACGAGGCCCAGGTGGTGAGACGAGGTCATGGCACCTCCTGTCTCATACCCACACCCTGTATCCTAGGGGGCCAATCTCAGAGCAGTCCTTGCGGCTAACTGGCAGGCCTGGGCCAGTACCCCCAAGTCCTCCTCTGATTGTCCCCGTTATGGATCAGGAAACTGGAGCCTAGAGATGGAAGGGAACCTACCCAGGGATGTACAGCTACGATATGCCAAAGCCAAGACTTGAACCCAGGATTTGCAGGATTCTGGGCTCTCGTGCTCACGAGGATGGTGCCAGCTCCATTCCTGAGCCTCAGCGCGCCTGCCACTGCTTCTCGTGCAGTGAACCACACCCCTGCACCAGCCCCACGACGTTGGTTGTGTTCTTATCCTCATTTTTCAGATGGGAACAGTGAGGCTCAGAGAAGTATAGTGACTTTCCCAAGGTCACACAGCCCCGCTGTGGTAAAGATGGGGTTCACACCCAGGAACTACCCTCGGATTCCCAGGAGCTGCCCTGCTGCTAATACAGCATGCTGCCCACCCTGCCCACACACAGATGCGCTCACAGGCGCCCAAAGACCAGCCGACAATCCCAGCTCTGCCCCCCACTGGCTGTGTGAGCTGGGCAAGCCCCGGAGCCCACCGACCTACAGCATCCCGATGTGCAAGGTGAGACCCCAGGGAGCCAGCAGAACTGCTGAGTGAATGAAAGCGGTTCACGTTAGGTGCCCAGCTGGCTGGTGCCTGGCGCACAGCATGGACTTGACTGTACAGCTGTCGCCAGTGGGGGACAGGGGCAGAGGGTAGGCACTCCCTCCTGCCTGCTTTGCTTTGCCACTGAATGGGGGTCAGGGAGGGGACGGGAAGACACAGACCCACGCCGGGCACCTGCCCTACCCACCTTTTCTCCTGCACCTCCTGTATGTTCTCGATGCCGATGGCGCTGCTGCGGCGTGAGCCAAACGGGCCTGACTTCTTCCTTGTGGGGCTCTTCCCGGGGACAATCAGGGACTGCGAGGAGAGGCCCCCAGCTCAGTGCCCACCTTCCCTGGGAGCCCTGGTGCCCCCCACATGCCACCCTGAGTCCTGCTGCTCCAGGCCTTGAAGCAGAGGCAACAAGCAAGAAAGAACAAGAGAAGATCCATCTCCAGAGAAAGCCCCCCCTTTACAGAGGAAAACAGGCCTGTGAGGGCAAGGGACCCCCAAGATCACACAGCAGGAGTGGGCCTGGGCGGGGGCTGGGATGAGAGGCCAAGTCTCACAATGGCTGCCCCCTTTCCACCCCTAGGGCTTCATGGGCCCTGCAGCCTAAGGTATGTGGGGGGAGAGTGGGCATAGCAACCCAAGCCCCCACCCCATGCCAGGCCTGCCTGCCTCAGTCTCCAGACTGGCTGGGGAAGGTTCTGGGCCAGCAGTTGACAGATTTCCCCCACCCCATCTCCACACACACAGAAGAGTGCCCCCATTTCCTCTGGGGAATCAGGGAGGTGGGCCCCAGGGAAGCATGGAGGGCAGGAATCCCCAGGCCAGTTCATGTGGGGAGGGGAGTCAGGTCAGAGGAAGGGGATGGAGCTTCATGCAGAACTGGCGATATTGGGGGACGTGCGGCTGGGCAGGGGGTCTTTGGGTGTCAGATCCTGGCAGGGATTGGGCCAGGGTCCCAGGGGCCAGGGCAGAGCCAGAAGCCCCTGGCAGGGGGCATTGGCTCTGGCACAGGTACCAGGCCCCGAAGCAGGTGCTGAGTGCCCTCAGAGCTGCCAGCACTCCGCCCTGCACGCCCTTGGGCCTGTCCCGGGGGAAGAGGGGCAACGTCCCCAATATGGCCTTCGTCCTGAGAGCGAGCAGAGAACAGCGCGTGCAGGCAGCCTCCAGAGCCGGTGGCCCCGCGGGCGACAACCTCTTCCACGGTTCCTATGCCTATGGCACTGCCCCGGCGTCCGAATCTACTTGCACTTTTCCCAGGAATAAGCAATGACTGGCAAGCAGCAGAGGGAAAGGCAGAGAGAGACAGACAGATGCAAAGAGTCAGAGAGAGGTACAGATGGCAGGAGGGGAGACACAGAGGTGAGACAGGGAAAGACAGAGAGAAACAAAGAAGGGAGTGGGGCAGGGGGTTGGGAGAGAGAACGAAAAGGCCAGGGAAGGGAAGGAGAGGAGAGGTGGGAAGAGACAGAGGACAGAGGAAAGGAAGATTGACGAATAGACGGTTACACAGAGACCAGAGATGGGAAGACATGGGAGGAGCCCAAGAGAGGGGCATGGAGTGGAAAACAGACAAACAGACACAGGGATGGGCCCAGGCAGGAGACAGACAGAAATGGGAAGGAACCGGGAGGCAAAGAGGAAAAGGCAAGGGAGCGAATAGTGGGAGGGCAGAGAGGGAGTAAAAGACAGGTGCCCGGGGACAGGAAAAATATAAACATGTAAGAAGGTGGCGAGAGACCAGGGCAGAGGAGTGGGGAGAGAGAGGGGAAGGAAAAGCAAGGAAAGAGGAGAGAGGGGAAGGAAAAGCAAAGAAAGAGGAGAGAGGGGAAGGAAAAGGAAGCAACATGAAGAGAGGGGAGAGTAGTGTAAAAACAAAACAGAAACGGGTCTGGTTACTGCCATGGTAGGTGCTGCTGGCCTGGCCCTGTCTCGGGGCCCCTCTACAGCCACCCACAGGGGGCTGAGCCACTCCATCGAGGAAAGGAGTGGCTTGTAAATCTGGGTGGGGGAGGGTGGGCTTGCTTCTTCAATGACATTGGGCTTGGTGACAGCTGGACAGCAGAGGACCTGCCTTGCTTCCTGGCCAGGCCAGATCATGGGGCAGGAATTGGGGTGGAAGGTCCCATTCACAAGTGACACAGTCTCACAGCATTGAGCACAGGGCTTGGCATGCAGCAGTCAATAAATGATTGATGGAGGGGTGGAGGGATGGAGGGACAGATGGATGGATGAATGGATAAAGAAGGATGGATGGTGAAGGGGGAGCAGAGCAGTGGGTGCAGTGCCAGGGGTGGCCACAAGGTGGTGGAAAGCAGATAGGCCCACAATTGAAGGCATTACCCATCCTGTGTGCCCAGCACCAACCCCCTGAGTATTAAAAGTAGAAGAATCCCAAAAAGCCTGGCAGACAGTAAGTAATTACAAGTAGGTACTCACTCAGGAGATGCTCACACAGAAGCCCAATTCCTGACACACAATAGGCAGCCACAGCCACATAGGCCCTGGCACACAGTAGGTACTCACACGGCAGCCTAGGGCCAGGCACACAGAAGTAGGTGCTCACAGAGTAAATGCTCACACAACAGCTCACTTCCTGACAGATAGTGAGTATTCACTGATGTGCCCATTCAGCAGTCCATTTTCTGACATACAGAAGGTTCTCACACAACAGCCCGGGGCTGGACACACAGTAGGTGCTCACAGAGTTTATGCCCACACAGCAACCCAGGACCTGACACACAGTAGGTGCTCACAGAAACTCAGGGCCAGGCCCATAGCAGGTGCTCACAGAGTACACGTCCACACAACCACCCAGGTCCCCACCAGCGTCTCACAGCTAAGCACACAGCAGGCGCTCACGCAGAAATCCAGGTCCTGATATATAGTGCATGCCCACAGCCTGACACACAGTAGGTGCTCCCAGAAACTCAAGTTAGTGCTCACACAGTAGGTGCCCACACAGCAGCTCAATTCCCAGCACACAACAGACAGTAGGTGCTCAGTAAGGAATGTGATATAGAGGCTGCCCCAGAGCTGACCCAAAGTCACACCTGAATAAGGGGCCAAGAGGAGTGGCAGGCCGAGGAGCTGAGAAGGAGACTGAAGGCTCTCAGCACCACAGTGTCATGCCTGGGCTCTTGATGGAGAGCAGTGACTAAACCAAGTCTAGAGTCTAGGATGGAAACCCTTAGACAGCAGGACAATAGGGGCAAGGGAGAGCTGAAGACTCCTAGGGAGGGCACTCACTATTCCAGCAGCCTTGGCCAGGTCAGGATTGTTGGGTGTGAAGCTCCCGCTGTGGCTGGTGGACACGGTGTTGGGCTTCTTGTTGCTTAGTCCCATGGCGTCCATGGACTGGCTGCGGCTCCGGATGACCCGCTGTGAAGGTGGGGGTGGGGTGGAGGAGGTACAGGTTTCATAAGCACCTGCCCCTCAAGGAAACCCAGAAATCCAGGCATCTAGTTCCTTCCGACCAATGCCACTCTGAGTGACCCCAGGAAGTCCTTTCCCATGAGGCCACACAAGAGTCAGGTCCACATGGTGCCAAGGGTAGTTTGGGCCTTGACTCTGCCACCAACTTGCTGGGTGACCTTGAGCAAGCCACTTACCCCTCAGACCCTGTGATCCTCTCGTGTGGCTGTTGTGAGGACTGGAGAAAATACTGGGTCATGTCCAGAGGTGTGCTCAGAGAGCTCCCCAGAAACCTCAGTTCATTCCTTTAGGGAAGCCTTCTTAGAGCTTCTTTCCCTCCCTCCCTTGCTTTTCTCAGCCAGTCCATACTGAGTGCTTACCATGGGCCAGGTCCTCTACACTGGCCCTCATTCAATCTGCCCTATGAGGCAGGCACTACTACCATGCCTATTTTACACAGCTGAAACCAAAGCAGAGGCAAGCCTAGAGCCCGCATGTTAACCCCAAATCCTTAACTGTGGGCTCAGACCTCATCCAGGTCCACCATCCAGCACCCACGCGATGCAGGAGTCCTCCCTCAAAGAAAACACCAGACCCATGCTCACCCCACCCAGCCCTGTCTCCAGCGAGCAGAGGCAGGGCTCTCTCCTTAGGCTTATTTCTCAAAGATGGTCTGTTTGCTGTAGTCCAGGGCAGGCCTGGGCAGCTGGGCTAATCCCCTTAAGTGAACCCATGTCTCCAGCTTTGTGGCCTGCCTGGGATGAGGGTGGGGCCCAACTGGCCTGGGTGGGCACCTGGAGGATGGGCAGGCCTTCTCCTGTGGGTGGAGGAGATGATGGCAAAGAAGCCACCACCTGGGGACCTGCAGCCTGGGGGAGACCAGGTGCTACCTGAGGAGAGAAGGAACTCTCTCCTCTGTCTCTCACTTTGGACAACAGTTGCTGAGGCAGATGGTCAGGGTTTTGCAGAAACTGCGGCTTAGAGAATGACCAAGCTGGTAAGTGACAGAGCTAAGATTTGAACCCAGGGAGTCTGTGCTCCTAACACTAACTAAATTAGAGACAGCCAGGGTGGGTCACACAAGCTGAAGATCACACAGGCCAGGTCCCTTTCCTATGTCCACTCAGGACCTCAGTTTCTTTACTTCCATCAGGACAGAGGCCTCCTCCTCTCTTCTCCACCTGCTGACCTGATAGCCACCACCATTGGCACCAGAGAGACCTTGTTGCCACCCAGAGGGCTCCAACCTTCAGCTAACTCCCAGGCTGCCTCCGCCCCCATGCCTAGGCCCCGCCTCCAACCATTAACGTCTCCCCAGGCAGAGCCCCACCTTCCACCCCCAACCGCAAGCCCTCCCCGGTCACAGAACACACCAAGTCTAAGCCCACCCTAAAGCCTAAGCCCACCGCGAACCACGCCCCCATCTGACCCCACCCCACCGTGAGCCCGCCTCTGGCCACACCCCGTGTGGTTCATAGCCCCGCCCCTAACCACACCCACTGACTCCACCCCACCGTGAGCCCGCCTCTGGCCACACCCCGTGTGGTTCATAGCCCCGCCCCTAACCACACCCACTGACTCCACCCCACCGTGAGCCCGCCTCTGGCCACACCCCGTGTCGTCCATAGCCCCGCCCCTAACCACGCCCACACGACTCCACCCTCACCGTGAGCCCGCCTCTGGCCACACCCCGTGCCCTGTCCTTAACCCCGCCCTGAACTCCACCCCAGCAGGTCCCCAGCCCTCGGAGCCCAGGTAGACTCGGCCCTTCACCTTGAAAGACTCAAAGAAGCCGCCGCCCCCGCCCCCGTTCTCCATCTTGTCCTCGTCGCCGCCCAGGCCCATCATGGACTGGCTGTGGATGTGCAGTTCCTCGTAGAGCGTCTCCAGGAGGGCGGCCCGTGTCCGCTCCTGCGGGGCAGGCCCAGGCGGGCAGGAGAGACCCCAGGGATCAGCCCTTGGTCCCACAATCTGAATCCCGGCCGCCTTCTCTGAGTGAGTGGGAGTGGGCCTGAGCCCCCGCAAGCCTACACCGGGCTTCCCCCAGGCCCCTCTGGATCCGGCCTCCTGTCCCCACCCCCCTTTCCCCTCCC